CAGCGCCGCTGCCACCGCGGGCCAGATAAAATGGCTTGGCGGGCCACATGGCGGCCCATGGACCATATGTTGGACAAGCCTGGAGTAGTAGCTTTTTTTCTGCAACTGGGTACAATTCAGTTAACACGTTCATCGTATTAGGATGTTAATGTGAATAGCAAAGTCTTCCATGCAGCAGTGTTTTGTAGTGCTCCACGGAAGTTCTTTTCTTATCTTTTTCAACCAACTTCGTCGTCTTCTGTTGGTTTATCATTGCTGATCCCCCATGCAGTCAGTACTTCTGTGGTTTGGAACCAGACTCTGTGCTGAGTTTCATACCTACGTCATTGTACTCCATAGAGTCAACATTTTGCATGTTCGTTGACCTATCAGTTCTTTAAAGTCACCAATTGGCCTGTCTAAGGAACTCTTTTCCACATCAGTCCCCATTCCTTCAAAAGCAAACCCAGTTTTATGGAAACATTTTGTGAAGCTATCGGGTCCAACTTGGTTTGTAGCAACAGAAATCCAGCAGATGGCATCCAGCACAGAAGTCTTCTTTGCAAGTTCAGTGATATTTTTGCCAACAATGATTGCAGCAGTAGCCTTGTGCAGTGAGCTTTTAGACACTTAACACTGTGATGCCTTGGTTGTGTGACACTAGTCATGCTGCAAAGATAAAAAATAACTTTACAATTGACAGTTTTAGGGTAGTGTGTCATGCAGTATTAATCAAGGAATACACAAGACTTCACATTTTTCTTTTTTTATTTTATTGTTGAAATCTTGAAGCCAATTTTCCATTAAAGTAGACATCATCCGTGCCTTCCTGTTCGCACACCAAGTTACAGGCAAATCATCCTTCTTAATGTTTTTGAAACATTGTGGACTTAGTGATTTCCCTGTTACCAAAGGTTTCTCTAGTGTTTTTGTCCACAAAACTACACACCAATAAGTCTCTCTCTCTCTTGCTTTTCCCAATACACTCTTCAGTTTTCAAAGTTACTGTAATGTTTTAATAGGAAATGCTCTAAAAGCAATCCTGTCTCATCACAGTTTACTAAATTTCTAGGCTTGTAATCTTTGCTCAGCAATTTGACACCATCTAACCATTTACTCATGGATTCTTCATTGATGTTGGCCTTGCTTCATGCTGGTTCAGTGTTAAGTTGTGTCAGCTTTGGAAGCTCTAGCCATCCATTTGATGCTTTAAACTTATGCGTTGCAAGTTTCTCCGTGACCAGTTCTGCCTGACTGAAGAAACATTTCCGACGTAGGCAGATTTCTTGCATGGATATCCACAAACCATGTGTAAACAAATCCTTGCTGCCTGTAGTCTGAGATTTTTACTTTATTTTTTTTGCATGCCATTCACTAGGCAACCACTACCTTTAGCTTGTCTTTATTTTTTTTAAATGTTGTAGATCTATATTTTACTACATTGAAACTTAACTGTCGACTGTTTAGCATCTAACTTCTCTTGTTTATTACCTTTGATGACTTCAATCTTTTGTTGCAGTGTTAGTGTGTTTTTCCTATCTGCCATCACACCAGAAATGTGGTCCACTATGGCCCTGTCAATGTTACTGGACTATGGAACCTGTTATAGGGAAGACAGTGCAGAAGTGTGCAAAACGCAAGCACAGCTCTAGTGGTCCGAGGTTCAAATCCCAGCCTTCCCAGGCACACCACTGTGTTTATTTTTATTAAACATGTTTTGTGTTCCTTTTTTAATTTCAATATTTTTATACGTTCTCCAATTCTGTGAGTGCAAAATACATACAGTAATTACTTTTCATGCTGTCCACAGGCTTGTTGCACACACTCTCCCCTGCTCAGCATGTAACAACAGAGGGCTAATAAAGAAGGTAGCACGCACTCTCTCTCTCTCCTTCCACACCCCCCGGGGTTTCCATGTGTTTCCATGATATACAGCAGGGGTGGGTAAAATATGGCCCGCAGGCCAGATCTGACCCATGAGGTCATTCTATCCGGCCCGTGGAGCCCCTAAAAATTTTAGAAAATTAATATTTCTCTGCCCTTGGTTTCTGTTAAAAATGACAGAAGTCAAGGGCAGGAGGACCCAAGAGAAGCCCTGGCGGGCTCCCACAACAGCAGGGCCCGCCCAGCCCTGCCCCCCACCATCCAGAAGCGCCAGCAGGGGCTTCTGGCCTGGGACCATGTGGCTGCCCCACGCTAGAACCACAGGGAAGGTGGGGGGGAAGGGCAAGAAAGGAACCTGGGGAAAAGTGGCCCGGGGCAAAGGTGAGCGGGGGGAGGGGGGGAAGGAGCGGCCTCTCGCCTGCCCTGTGGCTGGCACCCCGCACTGCAGCTGCTCACAGCCCACCAGGGGCTGCCTGTGCCTATTCCAGACGGACTGCGAGTAACTGCAGCAGGGAGTGCTGGCCATGGGGCAGGAGAGGGGCTGCTCCCCCTGCGCTCAGCTTTTCCCCGGGCTCCTTCCCAGCATGGAGCAAAGTGACCCTTCCGTGCCCCATGGCCAGCTCTCCCTGCTGCAGCTGCTCGCAGTGCGGGGCTGTCCAGAGCAGGCACAGGCAGCTCCAGGTGAGTTGCGAGTGGCTACAGCTTGGGGCACCGGCCACAGGGCGGGCAAGGGGTTGCTTCTTCCCCCACCCCGCCCCTCCAACTCAGCATCACCTTGTAACCCAGTCCCACTACCAGCCTGGGCCCCCCACGGCTGCAGGCTCGCCCCTTGGGACTGTGCGTGGCGACAGCAGCTGCAGCCCACCCGCTTGCCACTCTGGGCAGTGTTTGCACCACCGCCTGTGGGCTGCCCAGCGTGTGAACTCTGGGTGGACAGCAGCTGGTGCTGAGCATGGCGAAAAGTGGCCCCTAACTCACCCTGTGGCCGGTGCCCTGTACTGTAGCCACTTGCAGCCCGTGTGGAGCTGCCTGTGCCTGCTCAGGACAGCCCCATGTGGGCTGTGAGCAACTGCAGCAGGGAGCGCTGGCCATGGGGCAGGTGAGGGGCTGCTTTTCCCTGTGCTCAGCACCAGCTTCTTCCCTGCTGGCGAGCAGGGGGTCAGGGCTGTGTGCTGCCCCCTGTCTGTACCGCAGGGCTGGGGGGCACTGGGATTGAGTGGGCGGGGACCCAGCGGGAGCACAGGGCCCACACCAGTGTCCCAGGGCCAGTGCCGGCGGGGCCCAGAGCAGGGTGGCAGGAGCATGGGGTCCCAGCTGGTGGTGGCTCTGTGGAGCCGGGCCAACTCCCCGCTCTCCCTGCTGGTGCAGCCCAGCCCAGCCCAGGAAAATTTAATATCCATGCCTTTTTCATGTCACATGTAGTGGGCTCTAGCTTTGTGTCTGTCTTTCAAAATATAGTGCTCACAGCTGCCGAAACTAAATATTTGTGTTAGTACAAGGGAGATACTTCAAGGAGAACCTTGAAGCCTCCAGCTACCAGGGAGAGTGTGTGCTCTCCCTGGGGAATTCAGCTCCCATTTCTGAGGGTCACTAAAATAAATCCTGACCTTGCTGTGACGGGTATAGAAGCTTTCAGTATTGCTTGCCTGCCAGCTATTAGAAAAATTATCTTGTTACTAAGGCTGCTTCCCCAATACCCTTTTTGCAGTCTGGTGCCTTCTCCTTTCATCTCTGTCTCCCTTATCCCTGTAGCTGTTTCTCTTGCCACCCTCCCTTTCCCATGGTTCCCCTAGATGGTTGTGCCTTTCTTTTCTCCCCTCCTCCTCAGCAGAGTAGTGAAGGAGTATGCCCAGCTGCTCAAGGGAGCCTGTATTGTTGTTTTCTAACACAGGGGCATAGGTAAAGGGCTGGATTCCCACCACATACCAGTGCTGCTGTTCACCTGCCTGCGCACCTCATGGAAAGAGCAGGAGTGAAGGAGCTCCTGCCACACGAGTGATTTCCAGGCTGTAATAACATCAGAGGTAAGGAAAGCTCCCGTTAGTCCTTCCCCCAACCCCCTCGGCAGATAGCAGCCCACGGGTATCAAACTTGCTTTACTCTGTAATACTTGCTGCTTGTTTGAACCTGATGCTGTCCAAGAAAATCAATCGCTACTTCCAAATGGGGTGATCTGATAGTGCTCGGCATCTGCCTCCATCTTCACACAGCCCTAGACTGACAAGGAGAAACAAATGGTGAAATTTTCCTTCTGTGGTGGGAGAAAAATACCCACACACCAATAACTGCTCAAGCAGGCCCAGCCTCCAGCCACATACCCCCTTGACTTTGGTGCCAACCAGGAGGGAAAGCAAGTGTATACACTGTTTCTAGTGGGAGGGAAGGGATAGGTGAGATGGACTTTGAAGTTATCTGAGGCTCTAAGGCCTTGTGGTGGGGTCTGGGGCACAGGTAAGCTGTACGTAGGTGTGGGGGAGCTGAGGGCCTGTGGTTTGCAGGGGAAGTAGACAAGCCCTCTGTATCACCTATACTTTCCTATCGAGTACGGGGCTGAGGGGCCATGTGAAGAGCTGCACAGTGCGCTATGAGGCTGTTTGTGGAGCTGTGGGAAGAGGAAGAAATCAGACTGGGCTGTGGGCTGCTTCAGGAATTGCTGTGCAGCCGTTCATGGGGCTGGGAGAAGAGGTGGTATGAGGGCAGTGAATGAGAATGGGAGACCTAGGGGTTGTGGAGAATATTTGGTTTAGTGTGGTGGTAGCTGTAGGGTGGTGGGCATCGGTGTATGCCTCTTGCCTGGGAAGGGAATGCCTGGATAAATGGTGCAGCATTACCTCTGAAATCTGAGCAGAGAATGCCCCTGAAATAAACTTACTATTCAGCACAGGAATGGGCTAGCATATCTTGGGGTGAGGTACCTTCTTGCACCTGGACCCCATGTCTCCTTGGACCCCTGGTGGGCAACTGCTCCCTCCACAGCACTCCCAGCATAACTCCCACGCACACGTCCCCATCTGACTGCTTGATTTTACACATTTCCGCGTAATAACTCTCAGACAAAAGGACGCTTGTGTTGGGCAGCAGTCTGGCAGCACTGCGTACACAGTTGTAATTTCTGGCTACAACCCTGGGGCCAGGAGCACATTTTTCTGCTTTCCTAAGCCCTGTCTGAAGCAGCACTTGCCTGAACAGAGGCTGGACCTCAGTGAGACAGCAGTTCATGTTAGCAGGACTAGATAAAAGGAGCTAGCTATTGCTACCTCATCACTTGTCAAAGGAATGTGAAGCCATGGATTCCTGCCCAATCTCTGAGTGCTGGGTGCACTTTTTTCACCTAAGGCCAGCTCAAAAGCTGCTTTGCATCCTGCTAGACAATGACTTTGCCACTGGAATTGGTATCTCCTATCCATGATTGGCAGTCAGGAGAAATGTACTTATAGGGCTGGGCTGAGGATTTTTTGAAGAGATTTTTTTGCCATATGCCTTGCTTTAAAGCTTGTGACTAGGAGTCATCTTTATGACCTCCTTATGACCTCTATTCTCCCTGTCTCTTGCTGCAAAAAAGCATGTATGTTTTTTAATCAAGCAATTGTTTTATATGGATTCATGTTTTTAGGGCTGTCTTTGCAAGGCAAAGGGTGAGAATTTTCTGAAGGTAACAGCAGAGATTCTCCACTACAGGGACCAAAGACCGGTTCTTTTAGGAAAGGGTGTGTGCTGATTTTTCTGGATTCCCCCATGCAGGGAAGCCAGTGACTGGGTGATTGGGACACATGTTCCAAGTCAGTAGTGGCAGACCATAGTAGTAGTGGAGTTAATTGCTGTGTTTGGGAAAGGCTCAGGTCTGGGTGAGCAAGAAGAGGGAATGAATTCCCACTCATCCAAGGATAAAGGGTTGGCTCTGGGAATAGAAATGTGGCAGGAAGATCCCCAAGAGCAAGTGAGCACAAGAGAATGAAGGGCCTTCCTGAGACTCAATGAGTCCTTCCAGGTTAGCGTGCTGATTAGAAAGGGAATGTGAAGAAATGGACACTGTCTGCTGGATAAGCCTTATTAACGTTACTTAAGTCCTTGTGGCCCTCAAGATCAAGATAGACTTGAGCCCCTTGCATAATAAATGAAAGGGAAGGTAACTCTGCACTTGTCCCCACACAGCTCTGCGTGTAATTAATTAATTTAGAACACTGTTATGACTCTCTGTGCTGCTAACTGATAGGAAACTGAGCTGGACTTTGGTATCCCACCCACGTTTATAAGTAGACTGCAACTATGAGAAGCTTTTGCTTTTCTTCCCTTTCATTTGACTTGCATGTTGAGGCTGACCTCTGCCTTCTCAGGCAAAGTGTATCCAACTGGCACTGTAACTCGTTGCAAAAGGTGAAAGCAGGGCAGGGTGGCTTCCTAGACACTGAAAAGGGAACCTGGGAGGATGCATCTTTTGACTTCATATCTGCAGCAGGAAGCTGGCCAGAAAGGTTCTAGGCAGAAGCTGTTCAGAAAGATAGACCAGCTTTAGGGATAAGGGGTTTTCTGTACAGGTTTCCCTCGCTTTATGCAGGTTCTGTATGTGCGAATTCGCTTTTATGTGATGACCCTTTTTATACCAAAAATTCATTATATGCAAGGTAAATTCACTCTTATACGATCAGTGTGGTGGCCCACAGTCAGCTGCTTTGTGCGGTACACCGTGGGAGTGGTGCGCACCAAAATAGAGTCTCCAGTGTGGATCTGTGCTCATCGCTCATCTGTGACACATATTGCTATAGTTGCCATCCCCATTATGATAGTGCCCTGTGCTTGTGTGTACTGTCTGCTGTTGGTGAGTACCAAAACTGCATTGTAAAAGTGGTAGAAATGGGCCTGGGGGTCAGTACAGTTGAGGTCTTGGAATGTATCCCTGTTGTTACATTGTAAAGTGGGTTCCCTTTATGCAAATTTGAGTTATGCACGTTTTCCAGGAACACATATATACAGCATAAAGCAAGGGAAACCTGTATTCTGAGAACGTCTTGGTTAGTGTTAGCAGGAAAGGATTCTTGCTCCCGCAGTGCAGTATGGTATTCTGGATTCAGTAATTATTTTGGTATATAATGTGCCTATCACAGGGGTGGGCAGTTATTTCAGGTGAGGGGTTACTTACTGAGTTTTATGGCAAGCTGTCGAGGGCCGCATTGGTAGCCTCATCCCTTGACAGGTGCCCTTCCCCCTAGTCGCCATCTTGTGACCAGAAGTCCCGCCCCCTAACCCCTGACCTTTGCTGCCAGAAGTTCCTTCCCTTGCCCCCAGAAATTCTCCTTTCAGCAAAGGGTTTTGCCATCTCAAAACCTGAAAAATACCAAATTATATTCTAAAAATCGAACATCTACAACATTCATTAATTTTATTTCAAAAAATATTTTTGCTCTGATTTACATGTGTTTATGCAGTGTACACAGAGGTGTATGCACAATAGCTTAAAATTAAGTCTTACGCTTGTATATTGTGAGGGGGGTGGGGGACATGGGGATAGGTTTGTGGGGGACTGGTAGTGTGTGTGTGTGTGGGGGAGGGGGAGGGTGTGAGTGTGGGGTGAGGGAGCATGTGGGTGAGTATGTGAACATGGGGTGTGGGTGGCTATGGGGCTTGTGGGGAAGGGGAGCTGGAGTGTGTGAGGGGGTGTGGGGATCCTTGTGTATGGCCATGCCAGGGGGTGTGAGTGTATGGTGGGGTGTGCATGTGGGACTTGTCCTATGAACACACTCTCTCTCTCCTCCTCCCTCACTGCACACACACATACACGCACAGAGTCTCTCTCTCACGTACACAGTCTCCCTCTCTCTCATTGCTCTCTGTCTCTCTTTCTCCCCCTCCCACCCTGCCTCCTGCTCCTGGCCCTAGGGTACTGGCACGGGCCCCATGCTCCCATGATCTGGCAATGCAGCCACACAGTGCTGGAACAGCCTGAAAGCTGCAGCAGGAAGAGACTTCCGATTCGGGGGGGGCAGGGCTGGCCTTGTTGCTGGTTCCTGCCAGCTTCTCCTGGGTCCTACTGCTCCTGGCTCCTGTCATCTTTGACAGGCAGCCAGGAGCAGATAAATATACATTTTCTAAATGTTTTAGGGGTCCTGTGAGCCGGTTAGAATGGCCTGTTGGGCTGGATCTGGCCCACAGACCATATTTTGCCCACCCCTGGCCTACTGCTTTGGGGATGAAGTCACATATTAAATTGTGGCTAGTCTCAGTCACAAACAGATAGTCAGGTGCTCGAAGCCAATGGTTTTCAACTGTATTTGTACCAGGACCCATTTGTAAACATAGATGGCCAGTCCTGATCTGCAGCTCCCTGGCCCTGCCCATATCCCTCACTCCCTACCCACAGACCACTGGCCTTGTTAGTACCCCTCACTCCCCACCCAAAGCCCGTGGCTCTGGTGTTGCCCCTCACTCCCCACCCACAGCCCCCTGGCCTTGCCAGTGTCCCTCACTTCCTCCCTATCCACAACCCCCTGGCCCTGCTGGTGCCCTCACTCCGAAACCCCAGTCCCTTTCCCCCTCTCCCACCCAGGCCATGCTGGTGTCCCTCCCAACCTACAGCCCTGCCCCTCCCAGCCCTGCCAGAGGGGGCTCCCTGCTGCCCCCGTCCCACACAGGCTGGAGTGTGGTGGCTGCAGCAGCTCTGGGTCATGCGGGCAGCAGTGGGGCGAGTCTGTCCTGGCATGGGCTGGAGGGAGAAGGAGGGGAGGCATGTGGCATCCCCTGTGCCCTGGGCTGGGTCTCCCCTTCCATGTCAAGCAGCCTGGTCACAGCTCCACCCGCTCCCAGAGTCCCATCTCCTGGCTGCCCTGTCCCTGTGAGTACAGGCAGCAGCCCCAGTGCCACCAGCCCAGCCATGCAGCTCCCATCCGCCCCTGAAGGCCCCCCACTTCCCTCCTGAAAGGGCAGGTGCTGTGTCCCCTGCCTCCCCTGCCCTGGCACAGGCACCTGCCTCCCCCTCACACACCCATCCCCTCCACATCCACACCCATCCACCCACACCCACCCCATACATACCCGGACAGTCCCCAAGCCTTGGACCTCCAACCCCCACTCCACATACACTTACCTGCATCTAGCTCCTGGGGCTGTTCCCATGATCCTGCCTGGCTGCATGCCAGCCATGTGCATGTGTGCATGCAGGTGCATGTGCACCTGCTGATTCCAATTGCCCAAATCAGCTTCTTGCAGGCTGGAGTGCTGCCAGCCTGCAGGGGGAAACCCATGCTTTCCCACAATTTTCTGGGACATACAACCCTTTCAAATATTCTTGCGACCCACAGGTCAAGAAACGCTACAGTAAGCTGTTGTCTGATTATTGCTTTAGGTAAACAGTTGCCCTGCATGACCCCACATGGCCAGTGTGGGAGGCCTGGGTTAGAGGATCCCTTGGTTCAATGCAGGGGTCAGGATCTGGGAGAGGCCAGAGGCTTTTACTGGCAGGTGCAAAATTGGACATGTAAAATGCTTTGGCTTGCTGCCAACATGCTGAACCATTTCTCCTGATTGGGACACTGTCCTGGTGAGATGGCACACTGCCCTGCCATAGAAAGCAGGCTTTCTGAGTGGTGTTTAAGCAGAGATGATTGAATAGTCAATTTTGTGCAGCAAAATGAGCTGTGTTTAAATATGCTAAGAGGCCAGCACTGCACACACAAGTTCTGCTCTTTTGTCTCTCAACAATCAACATCACATTTCATTCTTAACTGCCTCATCCCTAACTGGATTGGGACCTCTTGAAACCCAGGTGTTTTTCTCCAGTCTTGTTAAAGAATCAAGAGTGTAGACTCAATACCAGTATTTTAATGAAGGTTGCCAGTGCTGCTTTTGCCAAGTCTAGATGACACATTGAAAAAGGTCTCAGCAACCTCACTAGCACCAGAAGTAGCAACAGTATTGAAAACTGCTGTAGAGAAGCAGTTTATAGAAATGCAGAAAGTTCCCGTCAGTGCTGACTGAGACTTGAGCACAGCAGTAGTCCTCATTGGCACTATAAGGGGTATTCTAATTCTGGATTGAGAGTGTTTGCTAATCCCAGGGAAAAATCAGACCTCTGTCTTTTCTCCAGCCTGATGAGATTGAGATTTATAAACCAGGGCCAATTTTGGAAATTGAAATGTCCTGTATTTCTTGCCACAAGACCTGGGAGAGGGTCTCTTGCTGGCGCACACAGGCTGCTCAGAAGGAGCTGCCAGTTTAGGGATGTTTTAAGGAGATAAAACTGATTTCTGCAACTAGTGCTGATGATGGCAGCCATGTACAGGGCAGGGCGATTAAAGGAATTTCATAATCCTGGTGATTTCCTTTTGATGAGGATTATGAAACCAATCACAAATATCAAAAGCTTCAGATTAAACCAGCAGCCTGAGAGCAGATGCTCTGCTACTCTGGGGATGGCAGAGCCTGCAGCAGGACGGAGTTGAGGCAGACCCAGGACTGGCTTGCATGTTATTTGGAGAGAATCTCCCCTCCCCCTCAATCATTGCCTATCCACAGTCAATCAGTGGATAGCTGGTTTGGACAAGGACTGCCTGGTAGCTGTCAGGTAAGAACCACTACTTCCTTAAACCACCATCTACACTTTGTGGTATGACTGATTCTGGACCTGTTTGAACTGTTTTTTGTTCTCTTGCACATCTGTGCTTAGGGGCCAAGTGATGGATTCTATAGTGAGGAGACTAAGCCAGAGTGCCCTACTGGTATAATACAGAGGAGGGTATGATATGGCACTAGGACTGACTGGAAAGCAAACTGCAGATTATCCTTTGGGTGAATCTGCGTCCTGGATGCCTACACAATGCATGGGTATATGTGTAAACTTTACCACTCTGGCCTGTTTTCCTCCTCTTTCCTCTATGAGTGTTCTCCTTACCCAGCCTAATTAGTCTCCAGAAAAATAGCCATCCATTTTGAATCCGCTTCTGTCATTCAGGGATGTGCAGCCTGGTGTGTGCTGGCCAAGCATTTCCTGACCCTGTTGGAGAGGGGAGGAGCTTCATTTAATCTTGTTTTGAGTCAGCAGGGCACTTCCTGATTTGAGGGTTTCTCAGTGAAAAACAAGAGAATGAATTTCAGACCCTGTTTCTGGGTCTTCGGGTGATTGTTGCAAATTGGCGTTAGTACTGCATAACATGGCTGCAGTCTAGCCCATGTGTTTATATAGCCTGCTAAATATGCATCTTGCGTCCTACTTTCCCTGAGAAATGAGCTCTAGTTTCTACTGGGTGCGTCTACACGTGCCCCTACAGCACTGTTGTTACTGCACCATCATTTAGTACTTCCTTTAGGCAGCACAGTTATTTTTAGCCGCTATGTCGGTGTACCAATGCACTATAGTGAAGCAGCATATTGCTACGGTGATGTAGCTGTGGCACCGTGATTTGTGACCGTCGACATTATATCACCGTAGCACGTTGCTACAGTGACATAGTGTCTCGTGTAGATGCACCTACTGTGTATCATGTTTTGTTTGGAGGAGCAAATGTACCTGAAGGAGTAAATGCAAACCCGCTTTACCACAGGGTGTTCCTGTTATCTCACTGAAGAAATTGAGGCAGGATTCAGGCCTGCCAGCCCAGAAGTGATTTTTTTTTTCCACACAGGTAAGTACATATCTCTAAACCCAAACACCAGAAGCAAAAGCATGTGGAGGAGAGCTGCTGCCACTGGCTGCGTGCATATCATGTGTGCCAGTCTCCTGTTGCCCAAGGTACCTGGAAATTGCCTTTGAACATACAAAAATGAGGAAAGGGACTAACTTATTGTAGAAAAGAGTTTCCACCCTATCAGCATCATTAATTCCAGCTCTCTCTCTTTCTCAGGAAATTCATTAAACAGGGGAGTGGAACAAAGCTGGTTCTTCCTTGGTGTCCCTCCAGTTAGAGCAGTGGCTATTGCTACTTCTTCTGTGAGACTAGACTGTTGGCATGCAGGCAGGCCTTAGGCAGGGCCAGCTGGGGCACTTGGAGAGGGTCCCAGTGACTTTGTCCTCTCACATAATGATGTGACATTGGCTCAGGAAACATTGTATAAAACAAAATGCTATCCCCTGCAGAGGGGTAGTGAGGAGGAGGAAGACGGAAGGATGATTTTTCCTCCCTTCTCTCTCTCTCCACCCCTGCCACCAACTGTCATATCCATGCTTGACAGAAAACTGAGTCCAAAATCAGATGCCCAGTTTTTGAACATAGTTGTCCCCAGTCTCTTCTTGGGTTGGCTTGAATTAGCTCAGTGGAACCAACTTTCCTTAAAGCTCGAAGTTCTGTGGTCCGGTGATCAGATGAGACTCTCTGCCACATTTATTTAAAAGAAAAAGACCTTTGTCCTTGTGATTGTAAAGGAAAAAGTTGAAAAAGTGAGTCCAAAAAGGACAGAGTGATCCACAGATTTATTATTTCTTAAAATCTCTAGATTTTGGGGGGTCTCACTTGTGATTTCTGAGCCTTTGGGACTGGCAGTATTATTAGCATGCCATATGCACTTGAGTCTGGTATGATATGCCAGATCTCTTGGGGATGTTCATATTCTATGTACCCAGGCTGTGAAATCAGCCAAGGTTCCTGTGAGGCATCACTGCCAATATAATAGAACTCTGTAAGAGGGCTGCTGCTATTTCCCAGATATTGGCAGGTTTCTTGTCAATTTTACACACTGTAGAGGAACACATTGTGTTGCTGCTATATGCACTGAAAGTCTCACGATTATTTTCATACTGCTTTCCTGTCCCAAGCTTGCTCTGGCTGTAGGGAATGTACTGTATGTTTAACTGCATTCAGAGCATGTTGGTTCAGCTAGTAGGCTGTCCTTTTGAGATCAACTGCATTAACATTATGGGCTTAAAAACAAATCATAGCTCTTAATTCAGGTATCAAACTCATCTGGTCCATAGGGCTGGATGATTGGCATAGGATCAGTCAACGAGTCAAATCAGATCTGTGGGCTGGCCCCATATGTTGGATCCAGCGTGCATCCTGAAGGAGCTAGAGTGGATATTGCATGCAGTCTGATCCTGCTTCACAGCCACACTGCACACAGCAGCCGTTCTGCACATGGCGGCAGCTCTGGTGCCACACTGTTGGATCCAGGATAAAGCTGATATGCTTTGGAGTGGGCATCACATATGGTATGGTCTTGGAGTGGCTGGAGCGGGCGTTGTGTGCAACGCAGTCCCAGAGAGGCCTGAGCGGACACTATGTGTTGGGCAATCCAGTGGGCCTCCATATACTGCCTGTGGGTCCACTTGGAGACCCTCAGGCAACACCAGGGGCTGGATAATAGGACTCTATAGACTGGATTTAGTCTGTGGGCTGTATTATTGACACCCCCCCACGTGTATTTAGTTTAGGTTTTATCTGCTGCTTTCCAGAGCAAAGGAAGGGCATTTTCGTCCTGAAAGCTTAACAGACATTTCTTCTAATCAATAAGATATTATGGGACAAATTGTATTTTTACAGATGCAGCTGTTTCAGTGGTGGGATGGAATAAGTTAGAGGAAGTGAAATGTCACCTGGAGAGCTAGCATGGCAATATGACATGAACATTGCACTTTCTTGGCCTGCTTAAGGGTTTGGTATTCAGGGCCCACAGGAGTTGTGTGCTACCTCCTCATATTTATTGAGCATAAGTGACTGCTGAATTAAATAGCTTGAGTGACTGTTGAAGAGGGAACTATTGTCAGGAATATATGCATACTCCAGCTACCATGCCTTGAGAAGTGATTTCTTAGAAATGGAAGGGAGAAAAACAAAAGCCCTGGAAATAAAGGAAAGCAGCAGTTTGACTAAAAATTAGCTACTTTTGTGTTTGTGAGGGGTGTTTGGTACAGGTGGGGAAAGGGTTACAAATGACAAGTGTGCTATATAGCTGTAGAACTATGAGGCTTTTTTTCCTGTGTCCTTCTCATTTAAATCGGCTATGTTTGCTCTCTGCAGGTAGGCTAGCCCTTTGGGAGCATCCTTTGTCTTTGGGAGACAAGGAATACATCATGCTGTCTCATGGAGACTCTGCTTTTTATGGTACTTTTTCTTGCCAATCTGAAGTAAGACATCCAGATTGACAGAAGATTGCTGAGATACCTTGCTTGTGGTGAGAGCTGTGCTGTGGTGTTGTCCACATTCCTGTGGGCATTTATCAGCAGATTCTTTGCAGCCTTGGCATCTCCCATGGCAATAAGTGACAGAAACCAAACCACAGCTTTGATATCTGAGCTGATTCCCACATGCACAGCCATCTCCAGTAGGTCCTGAGAGGATTGTCCATGGAGTGCAGCTGGAGATGGCAAAAGAGTAAAATTGAACCCCTGAATTTAGATGTGTCAAGACCTATAGCGCTGGTCTTGATAATATGTGATGCAAAGACAAAACAGCTGGAAGGAGACTAAGTCTGTGGGAATCTTTACCTTACGAAGGATGAAGTCCCTTTCCCCCTTGTTTTCCTCTCTGTTGTAGGCAATGTGGGTAATATTTTGCAGCAGTTAACAGTAAAAGCAATATCAAGTTTGTGTTGGGCAGAGAGAAGCTGGCTCTGGTATATAAGATACTTCCCTAATGGGCCTGTGAAGGGCATGCTGTGTCCTGTGTTTTGCTCCTGAATCTAGAAGCACAAAAGAATAGTTTCTTATCACAATAGTCCCTACAGGCCTAAAGTGAGAACAAAATCCCTTTTCCTAGGCATTATGATAGTTCATGGACAGGGCATGACTGTGCTGCACATTCAGCAGGGTAAATTAGCCTGTGCAGAGCGCTGTGGTACCATGACTAGGCTGCTCTTTTAGAGCTAGCTTAGGATGTCTCAGTGTTTTGCTGCAGTATGCAGCGTAGATGTACCCCCAGGCACACTCCCTACCCCAGAAAGGTTTCTGTCTCTTCAGGCAAAATAAATACAAGGAGGAAGGGTAGGAAATGGTAATATCCCCATTTTACCAATAGGAAACTGGGGTGCAAGGGCAATAAGACCTAGAATTTACAAAGTGTGTAATGATTTTTGGGTACCTCAGTATCTGGGTACCCAACTTCAGGAACTTTGAGGGGAATGGGTGGTCAGCACTTTCTGCAAGCAAGTCTACTTTAAGATGTCTTAAATTGGGGGCACCCAAAGATTATTAGTCGGTTGTGAAACTTTTGATTTGTGATACTTGCCTGAGATCACACAAGGAGTCTATGGCAGAGCTAGGACAAAGAACAAAGTTCACCTGAGTCCCAGTTCAGTGCCTAACCACAAGATTGTGCTTTAAAGCCCCGCCCTAGCTTTCTGGGCAAGTTGGACAAAAGGGGCATGACATGAATAAGCAGATAATTGCCATGCCCAGCTATGATACTGGGCCAGGCACAGGGCCTACAAGGCTAGAACGTAATGAATGTGGCTGCTAAATCTGTTTCCCACTCAGAACAGTTCGTATTGTTTGGGGAGAGTCTGGCACTGACTGGATGCAGAGCCTGAATCCTCCTCTGGAGAGAGGGTCTCTCCAAGGTTACACTGATAAGGCAATGAGAGGTCTAAGGCTCCTTTGCCTTTTGAAAAACCCCAAATCCAAATGCAATGCCCTCTGTTCACTTGCAGCGATGCTTTCTGGGGTCTGAGTTATGCTCCTGCGGGCCAGGGGACTTAAAAATTTTCACTGGCCTCCTCCAAAAAATGGAGACTAAACAAAGGACATTCCTGAGCACCAGCCAAAGGCCGCCAAGCTTCCCTCCCATCCCCCTTCCTTGAAACTTCCTTCCACATTCCCTTGCTCTGGGCAGCTCTGGGTGTAGAATTACACTCATCCTCCTGCAGGAAGCCAGGCTCTCTTTGGCCAATGCCTAGGATTTGCAGACCTTCCTTCCCTCCCCTGTGGCTATGCAAGTGTGTAGCCATGGTGACTCAGTGGGCCCCTCCAAACATGGCTTACCTTCTATAGCTGCCTGTTCCTGTCTGTGGTTGGCGTGTTTTTTTGGTTGAATGCCCTGGAATGTGGCTTCCAGTGAGCGCAGGGCTGATTCCCAGCTCCCAAGGCGCACTTGGCTCACCCGCAGCTGGGTCACTGGAGAAAGCCGAGGCAGGCTGGAGAGAGGAGGAGAGAAGGGGGGAAAAGAGGGCATCCCAGCTGCTGAGGAGACTCAGCCAAGCAGCTGCGCTCAGGCTCTGGCAAAGGGTTTGGATTTATTTATTTATTTATTTTCCTCTTTCAGTTTCCAGCCCCTTTTGCTGCTTTGCTCCAGCTCTTTCTGAGGGGTGTGGTGGTAGGAAGAATCTGCTGCATTTAACGTGAGAGATTTCAGACAGGGAGGGGCTCAGCTGGGGTCTTGCTGCCATCTCTCTGCACTAATGCCTGACCCCCAAAGCTGGGGCCCTGCTGCAATTCCCCGCAGGCTGCCTGCTTATATTTGCTCTGTGTCTCTGGAGTGTAATTCTGCCCCCTCTGCTTTTTTTTTAACAGCGCGAATATGAACAGTTAGAAATCTAGGGGTGGAAGGGATGATATTTTTCCTGCCTCATGCGTGTTGCCTAAGCAGCATTACATAGAAATGGCGCCAACTAAAGTGAGTCTGAGGGAGTGGGCTAACTTCTCCCCTGCTCTGTCTTGAGGAGTAGGGCTTGGTATTAGCAGCTTTTCTAGCCTTACAGGCAGGGGCCTCCAGGATCCAGGCTCAGGGAAATGGAGCCCTCAGGGGTGCAGCCTGTGTGTGGCCCACTGTTTCACGGAGAGACTTTTGTTTTGTGACACAATCTGAACTTGGAAGGAGGCTGGGGAAGAGCTTTTCCCCAGCACAGACTTTGGCAGGGGCAGAGCTCCCACGCTCCCTCATCAGAAGCAGCAGTCTCCTCCTAGTCGAATCAAGAAGGGCTTGGTGAGTATGAAAATGGGGAGAACTGAATAGAATGGTGGGGCTCTTCTGTAGCCATCAGCTCCTCCCCATGGTTAGGGAGGATGGTTTTTAGGCCTAAAAGGGAGTTATATGGAGGGACTGGAGATCCTGGTTGTGGTGGGAGTGGACTATGATGAAGAGTCTCTTGTAGAGTGAAGTATCAGCTGGTGTCAGAAGTCAGACCCAGATGCTAGCTGAGAACCTTGCTGTTACTCCTGTATCAGGACAGGAAGGAGGGTTTTGTAACTAAGGCACTTCACTGAGCCTGCCTGAGGACATTTGAGTTCAGTTCCTAGCTCTGCCATACTGTGTGGCATTTGGCAAGTCACTTTGCTAAGAAATTGAAAAGTATCCAGTGATCTTTTTGGAAGCCCCATCATAAGCCACTTTTAAATGGGTCTTAAGTAGATGCTTTCTTTAACTGTTTTTTTGGAGCTAAGCACATCAGCCCTTTGCAAGTCAGATCTCTTCAAGTTTGGGGACTGAGAAACTGAGGTACTTAGAATCAATGGGCATTTATAGTTGTGCTCCAGGAAGCGGGGATGGGACGCTTTAATTAAAGCAGCTTCAGGAGCTGCTCTAATTAAAGCACCAATAGCATCATGTGTATCAGCATTCTTGTGCTGAAAAATGGCAGCAGGGGCACTTTAACTAAAGTTCATCGAACGAGCTTTTATTAAAGCACCCTGTCGCCATTTTTCAGAGTGGGGATGCTGATGCATGTGATGCTGGAGTCTGCTGAAGCGCGGTAATTACCACGCTATAGCAGACACAATTAATTGAGTCGGCTCCAATGTGCTGTAATTACAGCGTGTCGGAGCAGCCTCACTGCACATGTATAGACACCCAATGAACACTTTTCAGATTTTAGCAAATGAGGGTAATAATGTTTCCTTTACCCTCATGCTATGCCTGTCTGGTCTATTTAGGTTTCACTTCTCGGCCTCTTGTGAGCTCAGATCGAGTGTAGGGAGTATCTGAAGTCCTGGACTAAAGAGTCTGGGATGGAGGATGCTTGCCTGTAGTATCTGGGGACATCCGAACCCCAAGACATCCGGGCTTGGGTCTGCATGTAGAATGCCTGCCAATGGATTTGGGAGTATCTGAAGTCCCAGGGTGATAAGTTTCAGATGGAGGATGCTCACCGGTTCATAGATCCATAGATTCATAGATGTAGGGTTGGAAGGGACCTTGTAGATCTTCTAGTCTGACCCGCTGCCCTGGGCAGGAGAGAAAACTGGGCTCAAACAACCCCAGCCAGGTAAATGTCGAGCCTCCTCTTAAAGACCCCCGGGGTAGGAGCGAGCACCACTTCCCTTGGAAGTTGGTTCCAGATCCTAGCCGCCCTGACTGTGAAGTAGTACCTTCTAATGTCTAGTCTAAACCTACTCTCTAGCAACTTATGGAGGTTATTCCTTGTTACTCTGGGAGGCGCTCGGGAGAACAAGGTCTCTCCCAAACCCCGCTGGTCCCCCCTAGTAAGTTTATAGATGGCCACCAGGTCCCCCCTCAGCCTTCTCTTTTGAAGGCTGAACAGGGTAAGGTCCTGTAGCCTCTCCTCAGAGGGTCTACCTTGCTGTCCCTGGATCATGCAAGTGGCCCTCCTTTGGACCCTCTCAGTGCTGTCCACATCCCTCCTGAAGTGCGGCAGTCCTGGATGCAGTACTCCAGCTGCGGCCTGACCAGTGTCGCATAGAGGGAGAGGGTCACCTCTGCTTGAGATGCATCTGTGGATGCATGACAAGGTATGGTTAGGCCTACTGACCGTGTTCTCTCGTTGTCAGCCCATGTTCTTTCTGCCACCATGCTTTCAAGAAGGGAGTTCCCCAGCTGGTTCCTACACACCCTGCACTTGTCAGTATTGAATCCCATCCTATTTTCATTAGCCCACCCCTGTAACCTGTCCAGGTCCTGCTGTAATCTGTCCTTCCCTGCTTGCGTGCCCACCTCATCCCAAATCTTGGTGTCGTCTGTGAATTTAAACAGGCTGCTCTTAACCCCGTCGTCCAAGTCGCTAATAAAGAAATTGAACAGTGCAGGCCCAAGGACCAAGCCCTGGGGGACTCCACTGCCTACTTCCCTCCAGGTTGAAAATGACCCGTCCACCACCACTCTCTGAGTATGACCCCTCACCAATTAGCAGTCCATCTGGCTGTGTAGGCATCAGTGCCACAGTCACCTAGCTTTTTATTGAGAATGGGGTGGGAGACAGTGTCAAAGACCTTCCTGAAGTCCAGAAAGACTACATCCACCGTGACACCTGCATCCAGTGATTTTGTGACTTGATCGTAGAAGGCTATCAGGTTGGTCTGACAGGACCTGCCCCTAATGAAACCATACTGGTTGCCCTTGAGCATCATCCCTGCTGCTGGCCCATCACAGATGTGCTCCTTGATAATCTTCTCGAACAGCTTCCCCAGGATTGAAGTAAGACTAAGACTGTGGTTGTAGCACCACATGTGGTGTTTAGAATGATTGAGTTCTGCCTGCTCAATTGATATGGTTTTTGGAATGATTGAGTTCTGCTCAGTCAATATGATTTGGAACTGATTTGGCTGATTTGACCTGGAACACAAAATAAACAAAAAAAATTAAATATAAAATTAGGGGTGTGTGTGTGTATATAGAATAGGTATATGTACAAAATTAGGTTTGTAAGCCCCTTGGGGCAGGGACTGTCTTTGTCCAGTGCATAGCCTATAGGCACAATGGAAAAGAGAGTAAGAGTTCTGGGCGTCTCAGCTGTCTGCCATAGAATCCCTTTGGCCCCCCCTTGTCATGGGACCCTTTTCAAGGTCAGCATGCAAGTAAATATTCTGAGTTGTACTAACTGAAGCCAACTGTCCTTTTAACCTGGTGTCTGCTATGACTTCTGTAATTAGATTCCTCCACTTGGATATTTTTTTGAACAGATGCATAATTCTGAAGTCTGTTTGAAAAACAAGCAAAAAAATTCCTTTGAAAAAGTTTATGGGCAGAGAGAGCCCCATTGGTGATGCTGCCTTCTTCCTTCAGTGGTGGAGCAGCTTAGGTGACCAAGGGTTCTTTTGCCCACACTGCTTAAATCTGTTTAAACTGAATGAGGCATCCTGGAAAAGGATTGACTTGCTGGTATGAACAGCATTTCCACTGGGGTTCTGTTAGCAACACTTTCTTAGGGATGTTCAGATGATACTGTTATAGAAAGGCAAAGTGTTAATTATTTTAAAAGTAGCAACATTGCAAGGGAAGAAAAGCCCTATGTCAGAGGCTAGAGGGAAGCGTTCAGAGTAGTTTGGGTGAAAGGAAGGGACTAGTATCACACATTCACATGGCTCTTAGTGGCAGAGAGGATTGGACTACCATTGCAATTTGGCAATGTCTAATTGCCACACACACTGGCAGCCAGGGCTTTGTGGGGAGCCAAAGTATAAGCAGAGAGTATAGGAAATTAGGGCCGAAAGGGACTTCATGAGATTGTCTAGTCCAGCTCCCTGCTCCAGGCAGAATTATCCCTGAATAAACCATCCCAGTGAAGCGTTTGTCTAACCTGCTCTTGAAAATTCCCTGGGGTGGGAGTTCCACAACCTCTCTAGGTTGCCTTTTCCAATGCCTAACCGCCCACATTGTCAAAAAAGTTCTTCCTAATCTCCAACCCAGATTTCCTCTGTTGCAGGTTTAGATGGTTGCTCTTAATCCTGTCCTCTGTGGCCACTGAGAAAAGCCCATTGCCATCCTCTCTATAATTACCCTTCAGATATTTGAAGACTGTTATCAAATACCCGCTCAGTCTAGACTAAATAATCCTAGTTCTTTTAACCTTTCCACCTAAATTATGTTTTCCAGGCCTCTGCTGGTCTCCTTCCAATCTGTACACATCTTTTTTGAAGTGCGAGGTCCAAAATGGGACACAGTGCCTATTTTACTGTGATTAAAGCACCACATAAAAAACATGCAGTTATGTTAATGCACAGTAAAATAGGCTACTGCACATTCCGCATCATTTAAAAACTATGCATTTGTTACTGCGCATTAAAGCAGTCTAATGTGCATTTTTTTTTTAGTACCTCATATTGGAGGTACTACATTTAATGCGCATTAGAAAAAGCACCTTAATGCACATGTAGACAGATCCACAGTCTTCTTAATGCAACCTGGAATGCTGTTGGGGTTGTTT